TTGGTGGTGTGGAGGGAGGAGCTGCAGAGCATGTGCCCAGCCGGGTGGGGGTGGAGAGGCTACCTGCTGTGCAAGAGCCTGGAGCTCAGGAGCAGCAGCAGTGCAGGAGCAGTGGTCCTCAGGATGAGCTGCAGACCGACCCAGCCACCCCTTCTGCGCAGCGGGGACAGCCACACCTTCGAGCAATGGAAGACCTGCTGACCTCCCATAGATTCCTACCAATGGGACACCAGTGACCTGGCTGGCTCACCCTTGCTGTTGTAGGCCATGAGGGCCTTGCCTCCATCTGCTTCTGCAGCATCACAAAGCCCCTGGCTGACAACGCCCATCCTATGGTTGTCCAACAGCTGCCAAATATCCCACTTCAAGCTACAACTGCAACATGCTGACCCAGCTCCTACCAGGGCCTGCAAGAAGTGGGAGCCTCCAGACTATCCTGCTGGCTGCGGCTAAGCTCAAGCAGGACTTTGCCAATGCCTTTCCCATGCTGGAGGCCACCTGGAGCTCACTGCCCTCCCCATCCCCTGAGCTTGGGGCGGACCTGGTCAGACCCCAGCACAGGGGCAGACATTGGCTTCAGTGGTCACAGGGCACAGCTATGTGACAGAGGCTCAAAGAGGACTGCTGGTAGTGCCAGAGGTGATACCTCTGGGGAGTAGTTGACCTCTGGGCCAGGTCTGGCAGGGGCCTGGGGATGGGAAGGACACCTCCTGAGGCAAGCCAGCTGGATGGCCCCCAGTACTTTAGAGGTAAAGTGGGGGCCCTCAGATACAGCTGCCCTCCAGCTGTCCCCAGCTCCTAGCCCCTCTCTGAGCCCTTGCTGGCTCCCCACCCTGCTGCCATCCTCTTTCCACCAAGGCCACTGTGGGTTGGGTCTCTCTCACCAGTGACCTGGCTGTTGGTTCCTGATGGGAGAGGTAGGCTTCCCATGAGGCCTGCGATCCACTGCATGCCACCCATTGTACCCACATCATACACAGTGCCCCAGTGAGGCCTGCAACCCCCAAACGCCCACTCACCATGCCAACATCATTCATAGTGCCCCAGATTACAACTCACTTTGCCCTCCAGGCTGACTCCCTCAGTGTGAGGTGTGGGGTGCCAAGGGTGCTAAGGCCATAGTGCTACCAAGATTGGGCTCCCTCAGCCTCCCTCAATCACCTTTTGCTCTGAGGACCTCCACGAGAAACCCAGGTCCCTGCCTGCCCACCAGGGCCTGTCAGAACGGGGCTGTCTTCCCCAGGCTTGTGGTGAAGCATGCCTGTGAAGCCCACAGCCTGTCTCTTCTTCCCTTCTTGTTTTTGAGCAGCTACAAGTTGCCTGCATGAGGGTCACAGTGTTTTTCTGCCCCTCCCTGGATCATGCTCTGGTGGACTGCCCAGGCATCTTTACCTGATGGGGCTAAATCCTTCCATCAGCTCCTGGCTCTTCAGAGGCCAGGAGGGGGCTGCTGAGAGGAGCCCAGGCAGGACTGCACCAGGAAAGCCACGGTCTGGGCTTGGTACATCTGTCCTCCGTCAAGGGTCCACGTCGTAGCTGTAAGTCCTGTCTTCAGGACAGTGAGACAGACACAGAGACAGAGATAGCGAGACAGCGAGAGAGCGAGAGTGAGAGCAAGAGAGCGAGCGAGAGAGAGAGAGAGAGAAAGAGACAGAGAGGCTGAGGCAGGCAGAACGCTCGAGCCTGGGCTACATAGTGGGTTCAAGAGTTCAAGGTCAGCCTCAACCCTAGGAAGACCCTGGGTGGGCAGAGGCAAGAGGCAGACTCCTGACAGGGGCTGGGGAGTTTTGGTTTGTGGGAGGCACGGGCAAGCCTTCCTTGGCTGTTTCCCTGCGGCATTGATGCATCGGGTCTCGGCCTGCTGAGCTGCCTGGCGCTCCCTTGGAGCCAGCTCGAGGCTGTGGTTCTTGCCTGAGGCTCGAGCTGGGTGTCTAACTCATGGGCGCTGGCTTAGCCATCTGGGCAATGGAAGCCACTTGTTCACCTGCTCTGCTCCACTAACAAGGACAAATAAATCCAATGCTGAGAAAACTTTTAAAAATGAGGATTACATGAGATATTAAGAATAATTCTTGCCTACAACCATTAATAACAAAAGTGAATCCGGTGATGCCCCGCGGGCGGCGGCGGCTGTGTCAGCGACGCCACGAAGCTCCCTGAGGTCTTCACGCAGGAGAAGTGCGGGACCCGCAGCAGACGACGTCTGCCGCAGCCCGGGAGTTGCGCTTGAGGAGGACGGAGAAGGCGTGATGGACAGAACGGCCGCCGGCCTAACGGACAGCCAGTCCACGCCGAGCTCCCGCCGCGACCGACTTCAGGGAGGCCTGCTGCCGGCCGGCGTCGGCATGCAATGGGGGCGTGCACCTGGGGGGCGTCTGCACCTGGGGAGGTGAGAGATGGGCAAGATCTGGGCGATTCCGAGCCGTGCCATTTTTACCGTATGTCTGCTAGACAGCATTGTAGTTGATTGACCAAATCAGTTAATAAAATGGGATTAAAAAAAAAAACAACAACAACAAAAAAGAAAAAACATAAAGACAGGTTTCTGAATAAAATAGGTAGCGGTACAGTAAAAAAAAAAAAAAAAAAAAGTAACAAAAGTGATATCCATCCAAGTTGGGATAGATAATAGAATTAATAATCACTTCTTGGCCTTTTGATTAAGATCGAGTGTAGATAATAGGATTAATGTTCTTATAAAAGTACTTTTTTGCCAGGCATGGTGGAGCACACCTACTACTCCAGTGCTCGGGAGGCTGGGGCAGGAGGGTCGCTGTGACCGCTCCAAGCTCAGCCTGGGCTACCAAATGAGTTTAAGGCCAGCTGGGCCTACATAGCAAAACCTCTGTCTCAAGAAGACAAGAGAGAAAGAGAGAGAAAGAAAGAAGAAATTATTTCAACAACTCACCACTAAACATATCACGTTTTGTTTTTCTCCTCACACCAACTGATTTTCCAACTCCAACATAACTAAGTGTCCTACAAGTCTGCTCAGTTCTAACAGTCACGAGGGGGCTTATGGGTTAGCTCAGTTGTGTAAAGCCCCTGCCTGGGCAAACTCAGTCAGGCTCAAGGGACCGTGGTTCAATCCCCAGCTCCAGAACCGCACCAGATCCGCGCTTAAGGCAGCCTGATCTAACACAAAAATAAATAAATAAATGAATAAAATAAAAACCTAACACAGCCACCGGCAGAGGTGCTGATCCTAAGCAGCCGGGTTCCTGCACTTCAGGCTGATGTGGCTACAAAGTGGGAGTCCCTTCCTGAGGCTCAAGGATTAGTTACAGAGGTCAAGATGCACTTGGCAGTGCACTTGGTTTCCTGTAAAGGGCCCACATGCATGGCCCAGTGAAGCGGTGCACAGGCGCGACCTGGAGGGGTTCCGAGCAGCGGTGGGGCTTCTGTCCCGAGCAGTGGAGGATACAGCACCCTGGAAGCTTGCGGGCACCTTTACACAGGGAATACTTTGACCCCTTTTGTTGAGAGTTTCTATAGAGATTCTAGCACCCAGGGCTGACTGATTAAACTATCAGCCTCAGGGGACCCTGGGTTCAAGCTCCTCTTCTCCTGGCATCTGGGGCACTGTAAATCTCAACCCCTATCGTGCGGCTGTTCTTCTCCTAGCCTGTCCTCTCAGAGTCACCAAGTTAGGATAAACTGAAGTGTACCCAAAGGCAGCTTATCTGAATATCAAAAGGTACACCTGGCACCAGGAACTCCAGATTGCAGGGGCTCTGGGCCTGCAACCAAAGATTGCACATGGTTCCAGGATCCCCCAGGGCCCCACAGTAAACAGTGGCAGAGGGACTGAGGCAGGCTATGCAGCGAGGTTTCCCAGAACGTCAGCTCCTAGTAGAGGCAATTGGCAGCTCTCCTTAGGGGTGACCATTGTGGACTCCCCCAGTGCAGTGATGAGACCAGCCTGGTGGGGGACTGGAGGACAGCAGGGTGGACGGCCCGTGCCTCATATCGCCTGCCTGCTTTGCAGCTGGGCCCTGAAGACCCACAGCTGGGCTCTGGAGCCTCGGCTCCGTGAGTCTAAGCTTCGTTCCTGCACTGACTGCATAAAGGCACCAAGACTTTCCTCTTCTATGAGCAAACAAACCACACCTTGCCAAAGTCCAGCTCGCACTTGGCATTACCCTAGAGCATGGGAACATACTTCTTCCTGGTAGTCAGGGCTCCTCAGGCAGCGTGAGTCTCTCCACGTCTCCCTTCGCTTTATGACAATGCACATATATAACTGGCACAATTTAAGGACGAACCATTCGCCGACTGGCCTTGTCCCTTCCTCTGGAGCCTGAGAAAACGAGCGTGCATTTGAAAAAGAAAAGTTGAGGTAGGATAAGAAGAAAACTTTCCTGGGAGTGGGACCAGTGAGAAGGCAAGATGAGGCACTTGGAGCGATGCACAGTAACTGGGAAAGTGTAGGGGTGCTTCCTTCTCCGGGTCATCTCTGAAGATTTGGAAGGAAGGAGTGGTGTTTGGGTGTTTGGTTCTCTTTCCTAGTCACTGTGGAATTTGTGCAGGCCTGGAAAGGATGTTGGTGAAGCAGTCTCTCACGTGCTGAGTGGTTGGTAGTAATAACCTAGAGCAGGAAGCCAGCTCCTGGCCGGCTCAGCCGAGAGCAGATCGAGAGACTTTCCCCGTGTGAGCTCTGATGGTTTTGCCTCTGGCGGTGCTGACAACCTGTCCTTTTAACTTTGAAAGGTAAAACTTCACAGAGAGCTCTCAAGAGAAAACTAGAATTTGTTTTTTAATCAGCAGCTTTGTCTAGGTATGATGAAAAATAGTGATTTCAAGTTTAGCAAGTACAGGGAAACCACAGGGTCTGTGGCCAAGCCCCTGAGATGTCCCTGACCCTCATGCAGAATCACAGCCTGTGTGGCCCAGCTGAGTGGCATCCTCGAGGCTGCCGGGGGCTGCTCCCTCCCACACAGTCATCTCCAGGGCTGTGGCTTCAGAAGGCCCCATGAAGGTTGCCAGGCTGGCTGGGGACTATGGTCCTTCCATATAAGGACAGCCCCGAGGAGGGCATCTGTGCCATTTGCCAGGATCTCCTGAAGGAGGCAGTGAGCACAGACTGTGGACACCTCTTCTGTCGTGCGTGCCTGGCCCAGCATGTGGAGAAGGCTTCTGGGGACCTCTGCTGCCCCCTTTGCCGGAAGCCCTGTTCTGAGGGGGTACTGGGAGAAGGCTACCTCTGTCACAGTCACCAGAAGAGGGTGTGCAGGTTCTGTGAAGAGCACAAACTCCTTCTGTGTGTTGAATGTCTGGAGTCCCCTGAACACCAGCCTCATCCAGAGCCGACCATCAAGGAAGCCATCAGCCACTACAGGGTAAGGTTGGGGAGTCAATCCCCTGGATCCCTCCCTCGTAACTCCTCCCTGCTCCTGGCTTCTCAGAGGGTCCTCCTCAGCGACACCTTTGTTTCTTCTGCTTCATCCTATCTGCATTCCTGTTTGTTTCTCTGTGTATATCCTGTTACTGATGTTGGGGTTTTGGTGTGTGAACATGAGTCTGTCTGAACCGTGGGACTGAAAGTTGGCAGAGTCCTGAGGCCCCTCCGCTCATCTATAGAATGAAGTTGGGCTGGGTGAGACCAAGGCTACCTGCTCCCTGGTCAGTGGTGCTGGGGACTTGCCTAGAAGTTCAGTCAGCTTTCACCTAAGTCAACAATTGTCCTGTTAATACATTTTGAAACCTGGAAATTAGCATATGGTTCTGTGTTCATTTTCCCTTTCTTTGTATTTTCTTCTTTCCTGTCATTATTTTTATCTCATTTAATTTTTTCTCATGAAAGTGTCATGCTGTTGGAGGTAAATTCAGACAATGAAATGCATACCAGCTAGACTAAAAATCTGTTCCTGTGCTGGGTCTCAGGAGGTAACTCTTACTAGATTTCTGCATCTTTCTAAAATATTGTGTGTGAATATACTCTTACACACACATGATTCTCTACCCTTTTCTGTAATTTTTGTCATTTAAAAGTAAGTTTGGGACATTTTCCGGTGTTCATGATCACATCCAGGTCCACTGAGTTCTTTTCAGCAAGTGAATGATTCTTAGTTTTACAAAAGTAGCCTAAATTGGCAAACGTTGCGCTATTTCCAAGTTATTGTTATTTCCAAGATATTGTTGTACTGTTGAGACCACAACATTGCAATGAATATCTTTCAGCATACATTTTGGAGAACTTAGAATTTCAAAGACCATTTTGGCGAAATTAGATTTAGGAATTTTATTTTTTCCACATTATGGTCAACTTGTACTAGCACCATTTATTCAATATTCTACAGAGTATCTCCACTGACATGAATACCAATTTCATAATATGCTGTCATACATAAGAACTTTTTTATTTTCTCGAATCTATTCTATTATCTATTTCTGTCTGTATGTCAAATCATTTTAAACATTGTATCTTTAAAAAACATTGCACCTTTGTCATATCTTATTTTTAATGCTTCTGTGGGGCTTTCGGGTTAGCTCAGCTGCTTACAGTGCCTACTTGCGCAAACTCAGTCAGGCGCAGGGGACTGCAGTTCGATCCCCAGCTCCACAGGCTGCACCAGACCCACCCTGAAGGCAGCCTGAGCTAGCAAAAAAAAAAAAAAAAAATCCTTTTAATGTTTATATAAGCAATACAAATTCCAAATAGGATTATAACACCATTCAAAAGGAAAAACAATGTACAAAATCTTTATGACACATGAAATGATTGCATTTAAAGTGACTTCTTGGGACCAGGGAGATGGCTCAGTAGAATAAGTGTTTGCCTGGCAAGCGCAAGGGCCTGAGTTCAATCCCTGGTTCTGCAAAATAAATAAATAAATAAATAAATAAATAAATAGAGTGATTTCTTGAAAACCCAAATCTATACATTTCTTAACATCACACTCAATATAAACAATATCATTCTAGTTAGAAGAAATACATGCCAACACCAACTTCAGACAACAGAAAACAACAAAACTTCTACAATTTGTTTAATTTATCTCAAGAAGCTATGGAGATGAAATAACATTAAAATTACTTATTTTATAATTTTACATTTGAAAGAATATAGAGTTCATTTCTACCTGCTCATTTAGCCAGAAGACTAGCTTAGGGGTATTAGTATATTCCATTTGTAATAATTTCTCTATAACAAGCAGTTGCTTAAGAAAAACAGTGTCTTTTAGATCTGATTTATTCTTCTGACTCTCAGCACTAAGAGGCTAAGGCAGCCAGGGGAGCCCCGGGGTCATGATGCACGCATCCACGTCAAGCAGTGGGCTTGTGTTCCCAAAGTGCTCCTCGGCACGTGGTGCACTGCGTGGCTTCAGAGTCCAGCCTTCTCCGGCAGCGGCTCAGGCATTGGAAGAGCCCCGGTCTGCAAGCCCCACTGCCAGGTCTCCCTCTCTCCTGGTCAGCCCTCTGCCTGCCTCTCCAGCCCCTTCCTCGGATGTCCTGCTGTTCTCTTCCTTTCCTGTTTCTGCTGCCTCAGAAGTGTCTGGCTAGGCTGCATCTCCTTCCCAAGCACTGGTATTTTTTTAAAAATTTATTTATTTCTTGCTGTACTGAGGACGGAACAAATCAAGGCCTTGGGCACAGCAGGCAGGCACCCTGCCCTTGAGTTATGTCCTGTCCCCTGCCTTGGTGTTTTCTTGCCAGATATCTAAGCACCCTAACTCAGAGGTGATAAATAGAATGCCTGCTAATCCACTAGAGAAATTAGCTGCCACTGGGATCCCAAAACTGAGCAATTTTCTCTTCCTAATAAGTTTTCTGAGTCTTCTGTATAGTTGATGACCCGTCCTCATGCAGGTTTCAGTTGCCCGATGCATTCTGCGGTGTCACCTATCCTGCCCTCCCTACCCATCTCCCTGCTGTGGCTCTTCCTCCCAGAGCCCTTCTCGCACCTCCTGTCTGCTTAGGAGCTGCTGGGCCACTGTCGGTAGATGACAGCGTTATTTGGTCTCTGCCAAGTTCTGTCCTCAGCCAGATCTGCATATTAATCTCTTTGAGAATGAGACTGCTGTGGCTAGGCGGACACAAGCTCCAAATAACCCAAGCTGTGTCTCTTATGTGGGATCCCAATCTTCCCCTCTTCCCTCACACCCTGTAATATCTTAATGTCCGGTTGGTCTTAGCACTCTGATGATATTTTCAGAATTTTGTGAGTAGTCATATGTGCTTATTTTGCCAGTTAGCTTTAGGAGTATTTTCATGAGTGTTTCTCCCACCCTAATCCAGATACTACCTGGCAATATGTACAGCATGGTGTCCTTTCCAACAGGAAAGCTGGACGTCCAGATTCCTGACCCTCAACTTTTAAAGAACACTGTGATAAAACAGGACAAGGAAGCAGGGAGTCCAGACAGGGGTGACTCTAGAAAGGTAGAGAAACAGCTCAGAAAGCCAAAGAGCACAGCTCCCACATGTGCGCAGGTGTGGTGCGGCAGAGCCAGGAGGAACCTCCTACCCACAGATGGGCCAGCCTAGAAGGAAATTCATTAAGAGATCTGCTCGGATTTGTGGAGAATGTCATGGCAGGCCTTATAGGAAGTACAGAGATGATTCATGGCCATAGCTTTCAAATCCATATGCAAACAATGACAGGAAATGCAAAACAAATAAATGACAATATTTGCTCCTTTAAGGAAAACATAGTGAGTTCCTGCTGCATGGAGGCCAACAACTTCAGGGCCTGGCAGGAAACAAAGAACGAAGTCTGAGTTCACAGCCCCACAAAGGAGAAGAGAAACCAAACAATGTAGGAGTCTCTGTGTGCCAGGGAGGAAGCAAGCAGCTGAGAGGAGAGCAGAGGTGACCCACGCTAGGACCCCACAGGGAGGTGATGTGGCCGGCGATTCCTAGAGCGGGAGGGCCGCAGGCTGCGGTACATGCGAGGGATTCAGAATCAGGCCTGAGTGACAGGATTTACAGATAAACTGGAAGTGGGCGAGGGAGTGGGCAGGATCAAAGATAACCTGGGAAGCCTGCTCTGAAGGCGAGAGGAGCGAGGAGAGGGCGACAGAGTCAGAGACTGAGAAGAGGAGAGGCTCAGGCCACAAGGGTATTTCCACAGGAATTATGTGCTTATCCATGTTAATGGTGCTAGGTTTTCGGCAGTGCAATAAAGAGGTAGGAAAGGTAAAAGAGGCCTTTATTAACTGCAAAGACCCAGGATCGAGGGCAGACGGGGCAGATCCTCCGGCCTGAGACAAAGCAAGCTGGCTTTTATAGACTTTTGCTTGGAGTGGAGTGTGACGGGGTGTTTAGAAATATCCAGGGAGCTGACTGGGGTCTTCCCTGTGGCAGCAGGAAAGGCGAAAGGAAGCTGCGCCCTGGGCTGTACGGGGAGGGGGAGGTGGTCCCCGGGAAGATGGGCTTCTGCTTAAGGGCTTCATCCTTCTTAGATGACCACCACAACAGTTCAGCAGCTCATACCAGGGCCAGAACCTATCACATAGCCCAGCTCTCAAACTAAGTTTCCTTCAGGCTTTTTACTGCTTCTTTTTTTTGAATTAGATTTTGTAAAGTGAGTGTGATAAATTGGTGCCCTTTCACTGAGCTGCGCCCACAGCCCTCTCCAGTGCGTTATTTGATGTTGAGAAGGAGTCCCATTGTCTTGCTCAGGGTGGAGTTGCACCTGCACCCTCCTGCCTCAGCCTCCGCTGCGGCTGAGCTTGCAAGCATGTGCCGCCACACCAGCCTAGCTGTGTCCTTTTAAAGGAACTATGCTGTTCCTAGCTGTGCTCCAGAAAGACTGAAGAGTTTGCCACGCAACAGTTCTGTCTGTGCCCGGGCTCCTCACCGACCAGCTAATGTGGGTGTCTGTTGCGTTCATGTACTTTGCTGATTTGACAAGCATGTAACAGTGACTGAAATCGTTTTACTTTGCTTAATTCCATCACGAGTCACTGTACATTCCCTCAAGAATCAGCACCTGCCTTGCCTGAGTTTGATCCCAGTACGAGAGAGAAAAAAAAAAAAAGAATCAGCGCCTGCCTGGCAAGCCCAAGGACCTGAGTCCCAGCCCCGGAACTGCTTGCCGCGCCAGCCACTGAAATCAGGCGTGGTGGTGGCGGTGGAAATGGCCTCAGTGGCAGAGGTAGAGGTGGTGGTGGCCACGCGAGTGGTGACACATGCCTATAATCCCAGCTCTGGGGAGCTGAGACAGGAGGATCACTGTGAGTCTGAGCTGCATTAGAGAGATCCTGCAATAAATAAATAAATACATACATACATAAAATATTTTTTTGAAAATCAGGACACTCATTCCACAGGACTGTCCCACAATCTTTTGGGACAATCGTTGAATATATATGTATATTTGGAACAGAATATATTT